TTTCTGATTTCTCTTGCTGGCGTGAATGAGGAGTGTCTTTCGCTAATTTTAGTCGTTACTTCTCCAGTTAGAACAGGCTGCCTCGTCTGTGTTAGGGTCGTCTTTGATGGGTAAGCTAGTAGAGGTGACCTTTTTATATAGGTGAACAGTCTTGTTGTTGAACAGGAAGAGTTGAAGAGATCCGGTCGATTTAAGAACAAACGCCAACTTTTATAGGATTAGAGTCATCTTGATACTCCGAATGCTAATCCCTGCTCTTAAAAAGGTTAATGAATGGAGAATCAGAAGGAGAATTACACCAGAGTGGATGGGGATTGTGAATGTAGTGCTCCTTTTTATTTATTTATTTTCCTCCTCAAGCTACATTGCAGGTTTAGATTTACACGGTAACAGGAGCTGTTCATTCTAGTGTAGTTGGTGGACTTTGTGCGTGACTAGTTGGCTAGTCATTCTTAAAGGAAGCCTTGTGTAATTATGTTGATTAGATGGACTGTCATACACCAACCAGACATTATTCTTAGTAAAACTAGCAAGCCGGACCGAGGTCAACCGAATCAGGAGTCTTGATGTGTTTTTCAAACTTGAAGTAGTTTTCATTTGATTTCAACACAATGCTCATTCTGTGAGAATCTGAGAAAACAGCCAAATGGTCAAAAACTGTGACAAAAAGGCCAAATGCATGTATGTGCTTTCTCATAACTATACTCTTTCTAGTTATTATTGTATTATTACTAAAAAACATGAGCTCTGGAAGTTAAACATTTATTAGAATTTTACTTTTGTTGTCATATCAATGTTGATTTTGTCAATACTGACATTGATATTAATTTTAAATACAATGTAAGGGGATTAACTTTATTTTAAATTTTAAATTTTATAATATTGATGCTGATATTTATATAACTATATTATAATATTTATATATGATTGATATTTGCATTGTTTTTATATACATTGACACATAGTATAGTACATTTTAGTATATTTTTTGTGGTGGCACAGATTAATTTAGCATCTTAAAGTAAATATGCTAAAACTTTCCAGTGCCATTGTTTAGAAATTAACCATTTAATTTTATAATATATATATATATATATATATATATATATATATACAGTAGTTTATCCCCTCTTAAGTGTCACTCAAACATTTTTTTAAATAAAAACTTATATAAACCCACCAGATGACTTCAATAACTGACTACCCATTCCTAGTTTGAGTTAAAAAAAATATTGTTTTCAGCAGAATGTAATTCGCCTGCCGTCAGACCGATTTTTCGTGCAACGCTAAAGAAAGGAGAAAAGTAAATTGCTCATCCAGGTTTGTATGGGGCCCCTCCCGCTCATCAGCCGTCTTTCAGCACACGTATGTTTCCCTGTGATCAAACTTAACCCCTGTGACCCCTCAGACGACTGCAACAATAAAGCTCCCCACCAACCCCATGGCCCTGAAAGAGCAGCTGTGTAGTTGCATAGCAGCAAATAGCCGTCAAATGCCATCTTTGCTCGGGTTTGACATGGGCTTTCCCACCTTTCTCATGCAATGGACGAAAAAGAAGCTGTAATTAAGACGTTTTTAAAGAAAAAAAAATGAAAAGGAGGGGGAATTAACCCACTTCTCCAACACAATACAGTCTCTCCGCAGGGAGACTAAAAGATGGCACGTAAGAAGGAAGTACAAACAGTGAGTGCCTGGCTAGATACGGAGCGTTTTTATGAGATTCTCCCGTGACGGAAAGCCAGATAGATGGTTTAGGTCGATAACGGCGTGACGGACTTCCTGGGCGCACCGATAAGCCTCACGATGGTTATCTTTTAAAGAGGCTTGTCCCATTACCTGTTGATGGCTCCTGGCGTTCGGTATGCTGAGGTGTTTATCTGCATGGTTTGTCCTGTGTTGCGGTGGCGTACGGGTCTCGGGAGTTTAAGACGAGTGATTAATGAACAAAGCTTTTCATAACATCTGTGTCAACTGTACCCAATATGAGCGTTTGACTCGCATCAGATCTCAAACAGATCTTTGATGACTCATGAAATCTTGGTAATTTCAATGCTCCTCTATTGTTAGTTGATGGTTTTGTTTATAAGCTCCCTTCCATCCTGACTGTTGTTTCAGATCAGCGATAAAAGAGGCCGTGACATTTTAAAACGCCAGTTGGCCTTCAGATGTGCGGTTTGAACCTGGCCTCCTATCAGCATGGCACTGTGGTTTCATATTCCGCCCTTGCTTTTGGAGAGCATCTTCTGCTCATCTTGGATACTGCTATACACTTCTCATTTCTCTGGCAGCACAAGCTTTGGCAGTAAAGGTTAATAGTCCTTCTCAAGCATACACAGCGATGTGTGGTTTGGTGAGTGGTTAACCCTTGTCTGGCTGGTCCTGCTGAACTGTGCACCTGTTCATAAAGACGTGCTGGAGAAAGGTTCCAAAAGAGGTTTTCAGCCTGATGCGGTTGGAGAATCTTTTAAAATTCCATATAGTGCCTTAGTTCCTCTTTGACATCAAAAAGGTTCAATATTAATTTTTTAGTTCTGTATCATATAAGATTGTTTAAATTCCATATGATGTCATAGGATAACCATTTAAAGTCCCATGTCATAGAAAAACCTTTTTAAATTTCGAGAACTTTTTTTAAACTCCATATGATATCATTGAAGAACAATTTAAATTTCCATATTATGCCATAAGGCAAATATTTTTTAGTTCCAAATGATGTTACAGAGCATTTGTAAAATCTGAACGATGTCAGAGAATATTAAGTTCCATACACATCATAGAAGAACAATTTAAAATTACATTCCATACACTTGTTTCAACCCAATGTTGGGTCAAATATGGACTAACCCAACTGTTACATTTTTAAATTAACTTTTTAACCCAACAGTTGGGTTAGTCTATATTTGACCCAACATTGGGTTGAAACAACCCAGCATTTTTTAGTGTATGATGTTAATGAAAGATACATTTTAAGTTCTGTATGATGTCATAGGAGAACATTAAGTTCCATATCATATCATGGAAGAACAATTTAAAATTACATTCCTTATGGTGTCAAAGGATAACATTTTAAATTGGATTATTATGCTACAAGCAAAACAATTCAAGAGAGGAACCTTGTTAAACTCAGTAGGAAATCATAGAAGAACAATTTGTTTCCATGTCAGTAAGGACATTTTCATATGATATTTTTTCTAGTAAGAACAAGTTCCATATGATGTCATAGAAGAGACTTTTTAAATTCTGTATGAAATTATAGGATAACAATTTACATTTCCATAATATTCCATAAAAAAATGTCTTTAACATTTAGTTCAGTCTTATTTTACAGAAGAACTCAATATGTATCAAATCATGAAAGAACAGTTGAAATTTCCATATGTCATAAGCAAATGTTCCATACGATGTTAAAGGAGAGTCACATATGATGTCATAGAGGACATTTTAAAGTTCCATGATGTCATGGAAAAGCTATTTTAAATTCCATATGATGTCATAGGATAACTTTTTAACACCAGATATCATATCATTGATTAACACTTTACATTTTCATATCATGTCATAGAAATGGTCATGTTCCATATGATGACATAAAAGAGCCTTTTGTATGAACATGTTTTAAACTCCATATATTATAGAAGAACCTAAAAGTCCATGTTATAGAGAACATTTTAAAGTCGTGATATCAAAGAAAAATATATATGATGTCACAAAACAGTTCTTGCACCAACCTATAATCTAACATCAAAAACAAATCTCCAAAGAACCGTACAGTCACATCAAGAACCCTTCAGAGGGAAAATGGTTCTTGATAAGGGAAGCATAACTGCCTCTGAAGAGCCTTCATTTTTGAAATGTTAAAGGAGAGTCACATATGAAATCATAGAGGACATTTTAAAGTTCCATGATGTCATGGAAAAGCTATTTTAAATTCCATATGATGTCATAGGATAACTTTTTAACACCAGATATCATATCATTGATTAACACTTTACATTTTCATATCATGTCATAGAAATGGTCATGTTCCATATGATGACATAAAATAGCCTTTTGTATGAACATGTTTTAAACTCCATATATTATAGAAGAACCTAAAAGTCCATGTTATAGAGAACATTTTAAAGTCGTGATATCAAAGAAAAATATATATGATGTCACAAAACCGTTCTTGCACCAACCTATAATCTAACATCAAAAACAAATCTCCAAAGAACCGTACAGTCACATCAAGAACCCTTCAGAGGGAAAATGGTTCTTGATAAGGGAAGCATAACTGCCTCTGAAGAGCCTTCATTTTTGAGAGCACATCTCTAGGTCTTCAGGATGCATTTGGAAATGGGAATGCTGAAGTTCTCCATAAACTCAAACTCTATCGTACACCGCAAAGCCCCCCTCCTCCGCACCTCCAAGTCCCCAAGTGCTCATGTTATAAAAATGATAAAGCTGCCGTACCTGTAATTTAAAAACAGATGGTTTCATCTTTTGAATATTTATAACAATCAAAACAATTTCTGTGCTATGTAGCCCAGGGCTATTAAGGTGTTAAGTGTTGGGTTTAATGAAAAAGAATCTCAGCTTTTTTTTTTTTTTGGAGTGGAATGTATTAAAATAGAAGAAAAAGCAGAGGAGATGAATGGGAAATGTGCTGTTAGGGCAGCGAGGAGACGTGAACTCGTTGTGTGGTCTCAACATGCAACTCCGGCTGTGAAAACAGATTGCGAATATGAGTTGCGTTCATATAGGGCAGAAATCCCCAAAGCATCATCTGCTTTGCTGTCTGCCTCACAGAGCCTCCTGGATGCATCCACTTTCATACTCTGTGGCATTTGTTAAAGGGACATGTATTTCTTAGTTTATATTTTAGCAGAAAAAAAATTACATTGCATACGTTTTTTGGATCAAGATATGACACTGTGTACCATATACATAATGTTAAATTGCGCGTAGTACAGGATTTTTTGACAGACTTTCTTATTGTACTGTGAGTAAACATACATTTTAAACGACACCAAATTTTGTCTTGCAGAGTATGATTTCTTCAATTGTTAACAGCACTTACTATGCAAATGTGTCTGCGGCGAAGTGTCAAGAATTCGGACGCTGGTATAAACATTTCAAGAAGACAAAAGACATGATAGGTAAGCCGAATGCTTAACGAACATTTGTGAAGATCACATCTAAAAAAAAAAAAAAGAGATCTGTCTTCCTGTTGACTATTTATCTGTCTATCGATCTGTCTGTCTGTCACTCTATCCGTCTGTGTGTCTACCTATCTATTTGTCTCTCTATCTCTCAATCTATCTGTCTGTCTGTATCTCTATCTACGTATATCTATGTCTCTCTATCTGTCTATTTGTCTATCTTTTCTGACTTTATGTCTGTCTATGTAAGTCTGTCTGTCTGTCTGTCTTTGTCTGTGTGTATCTAGTCTTTTCCTTGTCTACTTATTTTTAACATGCCTCATTTGTTTGTTCCTTAGATTCAGTTAAAATGCAAATCTAACAAATCCCTGTCAAATATAGACCTATGTTTAGGACAAAAAGCCTTTTTTGACTTCAAAAATCTATCTTTGCCATGCAAATAATAATCAACAGCACTGTGATTTTTTGTCTTTTCAAGTGTTCAAACATGCACCTGTCAGTCAGTCAGGTTGTTATACTGCAGCTCTTGACATCTGCCTCTTGTTTCCTGTTCACACGTTCACTTTTACCCCCACTAACACTCTCTCTTTCTCTCTCTCCACACCTGTGAATGCGTGTATGCGCAGTCGTGCGCCAGCCCTCCCAGCTGGAGGGCTACCTGGGGACGTGTGTCCTCCATGACAGTCCACGTGCCACCACGTTAGGTAGGTCACGTGACGCACCGCAACCCTCCCCACCTTATTATTCATGAGCACGTGTGCTCACATTCCAATGGCGGTGACACCGTAACTTTGCGTTAACAACTGACGGCAGGCCGAGAGCCTTGTGAGTGGGACAATTAGCGTCAGATGAAGCAATCTGCCACGATAAAAACTTGCGCACAAACACATCTGTACACAACCAGTAAACACTTTTGTCTTTTGTTGTGGCTCTAAATGTTTGCCATATCAAAACAAATGCGCTTTTTACAATACACGTTGCTTAAAGCAGCTTTGCAGAAAATCGTGTTAATATTTATTATAATGTCGTCTTCATGCTTTATAGTTGCTTTAACAAATTAGAGCTGGGTGATAATATAGTTAAGCAGTTTTTAATCTAAATTTGTTTAATTTCGAAATTTGAAGCAAAAACAGAATGGTCTGACTTGGTCTGACTGAACTAAATTGATCTGAATAATGACATTGTTGACATTTTAGAGCTGCTTCACAACTGAAATGGAAGAATTTTACAGCCTTAAAGATTCCATAGTTCGCATATGCAAGTCAATGGGGACCAGCAACTGAAGGTGAACTATCCCTTTAAGTCATTCCAAACCTGTATGAGTTTCATTCTTCTGTTGAACACAGAAGATATTTTGAAGAATGTTGGTTACCAAACAGTTGCTGGTAGCCATTGACTTCCATAGTACTTTTTCCTCTGATGCAAGTCAATGGCTACCAGCAACTGTTTGGTTACCTACATTCTTCAAAATATCTTCTTTTGTGCTCAACAGAGGATGAGTGAATGAAGATTTTTGGGTGAACTATGCCTTTTTAAGGCAGTTATTTTCCTGTTCATTACTGTGATGCTGTTTTGAAACGGTCTGTATTGTGTATATAGTGCTACATAAATAAATTTGACTTGATTTTTTTTCCAGAGTGACTTATATTGCATACAAGTTATATGTTATATTGCATTCAAGTTATGGGTTTAATCAGTTCATGCATTCCCTGGGAATCGAACCCATGACCTTGACATTGCTCTATTGTCTAAACTGCAGGAATGCGAAGCTATAGTTATGCCAAGGTTATGGGTTTAACTCCCAGAGAACACTGCTAATGAGAAAGTGCATGTCTTGAATGCACTCCCTATTGTAACTGGTTAGTCCGCAGTGGATTGCATTTCATAAGTGGTCAGTGAGAGGCCGGTCTCGCAAGATCTTGCAGAGTGTGGCAAGCCGTCTCTAGCGCAGTAGCGCTACTATTCAAACACAGCCGGGCTGGAGAGCGAGCGCCCGCCGTGCTGTAGGGTTTTACCTCCCTCCCCTCAGCCCACATTCTCTCTCCCATTGTGCTCCTAATCCCAGCCTGCTTTGTGGCGAATTCCACAGAAGGGACTCCGGTTCTCTGTCTGTGTCGCCGCTGCAAATGGGGCCTGCGAACGCTTTCTTCCAACCTTTTCAGTTTGCATGGAAAAGCGTGTACCCCCCAGCAGTTTTCAACACCAAAAAGACAACTGAGAGGCATACCGTAACATCCAAGCACAGGAATGATGGGGATTATGGGAGAGCTTTGATTATTATCCAATTTTTTGTTTGTTTGTTTTTTTCTTTCCCTCTCACTTTCTGCTGATATTGAAAAGAACAGCCGTGGCTTTGTGCTCGCTGTCAGTTAAGACACATGTTTGCATCCTTGTGCTTATTGTGCATATCTCTGGAGAGTTGCCATGCGCTTAATCTGGTTTTTATCTTCCAGTTGAAATATTTATATTTTGATGATTTGTCATAATGCTTTTTTTGCACTCTATAAAATCCGTAAGATTGTCTGCGCTAGTAGGTGATGGGCATTGTATTTCTCGTTTAAAAAAAAAAAACATTTAAGTAATATCTTTCAGCTGACTACCTGTGTTTCAGGAAAGCACAATGCTTTAGTCCTTTAAAACATTGGTTTACAATTTTTTGCTATATTTACTCTGCTTTCCATATGCTGTTATTTTTCCATGCAACACAAAAAGAGAAATTTAATAAATCTTCAAGCAGCTCTTTTCAATATTCATAGTGACCACATCTGTCAAAAATCTGCAATAAGCTGTGAAATGACAAAAACAAGCACTAAAAGTTGTCCATCTTTCAGAAAAGTGACAGATTATGGGTTTAGAATTATTTCTTTAAATTCACACATTCATAAGTACTTTTTAATTTTCATATTTTCAAGCATGTTTGCCACCACACCTTATTTTCTGTCCGCTCAGTCTGGCCTGTTTAAGAGACCATGCTCTGGGCTTCCAGTGCATTACGCTCCGGTTATATTTAGACTTTCCCAAAATTTCATATTAGCCAGCTTGTGTACCTTGTTTTAGAATTAAGAGCATAAAGGGCGATTCAAGTGTATGGCTCTCTGGCTCGGTCCATGTGAAGACATCCTGCTCGCTGCTTTAGCAGAGCGCCCACACTGCAGTGTTGTTATTGCTCACATGATTTGGCCATGGACATTATAAACTAATTTCTGGTGCTGCCAATTTCTGCAGATACAGGTCACACACTGTGTCCCATCATATTAGAGAGGTTGTATTGGGTTACTGTAGTAATGGCAGGCTGGAACGCGCGTGATTAGTGTTTTTTTTTTTTTTTTTTTTTTCTTAGCTTGAAACTCTTGATTTTTGACTTCATGTCATGTCCAATTTGTTATGAAAGTGTTTACTATTTGATATTGATGTGTTTTGTGATGAATTCTGTTCATCATAGAGTAGTAATAAGGCAATTAATCACTCATTTTGAAAATATCAGCATGCCCATTTGTCCAGTTAAGTGATAGTTTCTGAAGTTCCTTTTTTATAACATTTATTGTTAATTTTTATTCATTCATTTCTAAATGTTATTGTGTTAGTGATCGTAAAAGTATCAATATATTCTGGTACCAAGTTGATACTAAACTAAAATAAATATATTTTTTAATGTTAGTATGTAATAGAGTTTTGAATTGCATTTTAAAAAAACTAATGTTTTTTATGAGATAATAATGTAAACACTGACAGTTCATCTTAAAGTCAGATCATCTCTGCGCATTAGACCTAACAGACCTGCCGCTGTCTTTTTTTGTTGTTAATATTGACAGGAAAAAGAGAAAAGCACTTTCCGTCTTTTCTATTAATGACTGTTTACATGAATAAATACTTGAAACGATATTTACTTAATTGAGAAATGCTTGCACTACATGCCACTAATTTAATTTATTCATATTTATAATATATTTTTTTAAATAGAGTGGGTTCAGTAGCATATTAGATGCAGTGGCATCGAAATTAGTATCTAGAAATGATGTAGAGTAACAATTTTGTTATGGTGAAGTTTTATTTCATATATATATATACAGTGGGTACGGAAAGTATTCAGACCCCCTTAAATTTTTCACTCTTTGTTATATTGCAGCCATTTGCTAAAATCATTTAAGTTAATTTTTTTTCCTCATTAATGTACGCACAGCACCCCATATTGACAG